GGCTTGGCTGTGAGTGCCTCTCTCCCCCACCTGGAGAACAATGGAGGCAGTTTGCAGTGCTTTAAGTGGAGAGAGCTCCTAGTCTAATTGGGATTGGTCACCAATTTTCAGGGATAATTCTGTGTCTTGTGAGGCTGTCCAGTTTTTGTGACTTGCAAGGTTTTACTCTTCCTTATTTCCCTTCCCTCCCGCACCCTGGGAGCAAAGGTCAGGGTGACCAGAGAGCAAGTATGAAAAATCGGGATGGGGGTTGGGGGATAATAGGCACCTATGTAAAACAAAACCCCAAATATTGGGACTGTCCCTATAAAATCAGGACATCTGATCACCCTAGCAAAGCTGCAGCTTCCTTCAACACAAGTTCTGGTCTCCATGACTCCAGGCCTTAAGTGAAAGCTATTTTAAAACAGAATTCCTCTCCCATCTAATATTCTTGGCTCCCTTGGTGCAGCGATGAAGTGCTGACATTGCTAATTAGGTCATCTTTGTTCCTAGTGCATATTTTACCTGGTGCCTATACCAGAATGAGGGGAAAGTTATTTGAAGGCTCTCTGTCAACCTAGAAACCCAGAAACACTTTCCTGAGTTGTCAGTCAGTAGTTTTTTTGAGGTAGTGGGACATTACTCTATTACACAGGGTTTCTGTGCCCCTTCTCTCCCTAAATTCCTCCCCTGATGCCCAGGCAGCCCCTGCAGGGTGTTTGAAGCACTGCAATCATTCACAAAGACTTGAGATTGTGTCTTGGAGGTTGCCCTCTGGGCCCATTCATGGGGAGAACAAATAGCAGTGGGTGTTTTGATCTTCTGGCATGCCCCATGAAACACCTCCTGCACTAAGCCAATACAATGGTAAGATGCTTCCTTTTTTCTCCTCCCTTTACCCACCCATATGATGCTGACAGCCTTTTCTGATCAATTGGAGCCTACCTGCTGCATTCTGCAAACGCATTGCGTGAGCTTGTTTCATAGTGTGCACAGAACACTGTTACGTCGGTTTCAAAACACACAGGCTGGCTGGAGTAGTGGGGAAGACTGGGAATCGTTTTTGAAGTGGTGTTGTTGTTTTTTGTCTTTTTGTTAAATGCAGTTTCTGGGTGCAGAACAGGTTGTTTTTTTTCTTCCTTTTCACTGCTATCTGCTTGGTGCCTGTGGGGGAGATCCAGGCGCAAACTAGCCAGAAGACTCTCCTGTGTGCAAAAAGCAGGATTCCCCAAGGGTTTGGTCTTGAGGAGGCATGATCAGAACACAGGACTGAGAGCCAGGATTTCCGAATGCTAATCCCAGCTCTGACGTGGGCTTGCTCTGTGGATTTGGGCAAGTCACTTCATCTTGCGGTCTGTTTTTATTTCCCCTGCGTTTCATCCCATTTTTGTTCTGAGAGCAGATACCGACAACGGCTGTGACTTGCTCCGTATTCAGTGAGAAAGAGAGGCAGAAAATGGGGGGGGGGGGTTGGAAAAATTCCATATTTGGTTCTCTTCCAGGGGAAATTAGTTAGTCCACAACCTCATTTAATGTGGGCTAGACTGTAAAACTGGTCATGACGAGTCTGAGATCGCCTTCCCTGCAAGGCGGAAATGGAGCATATGTAGTATTGAACCCTCCCTTTACATGGAGCATTTATTGCACAAAAGTGATGAGGGGTATGGAACGACTTCCTTATGAGGAGAGAGTAATAAGACGGGGACTTCAGCTTGGAAAAGAGACGACTGAGGGAGGATATGACAGAGGTCTATAAAATCATGACGGGTCTGGAGAAAGTAAATAAGGAAGTGTTATTTACTCCTTCTCATAACATAAGAACTAGGAGTCACCAAATGAAATTAATAGGCAGCAGGTTTAAAACAAAAGGAAGTATTTTTCCACACAGCGCACAGTTAACCTGTGGAACTCCTTGCCAGAGGATATAGTGAAGGCCAAGAGTATAACAGGGTTCAAAAAAGAACCAGCCCAGTTCATGGAGAATCGGTCCATCAATGGCTATTAGCCAGGATGGGCAGGGAGGGTGTCTAGCCTCTGTTCACCAGGAGCAGGGAATGGGCGACAGGATGGATCACTTGATTCCCTGTTCTGTTCATTCTCTCTGGGGCACCTGGCATTGGCCACTGTCAGAGGACAGGATACTGTGCTAGATGGACCTTTGGTCTGACCCAGTCTGGCTGTTCTTATCTCGCTCAAAGTTACAAGTATGCAGTGGTGTTATAGCCATGTCAGTCCCAGCATAGTGGAGAGACAAGGTGGGGACGATAATATCACTTCAGTTGGGGAGAGAGACTAGAACTTACCCAGAGCTCTTCTTCAGGTCTGGGTGTTCACTGGCCACTTCACCTCGAGTGGCCCCTTGCAATGTGTTAACTACTTATGCTAATTAATCTGTTCCCTCTTGGATTTAGCTGGGACACCCTGAGGGCTTGTGCACATTTAATGCTTCAGTGGCGCAGCTGCCCTGTTACCTATACGGATGGGATTGGTTCTCTGGTTGGCATAAGTATCCACCTCCCCGAGAGGTGGTAGCTAGATGGACGGGAGAATTGTCCTGTTGCCCTAGCACTGTCTACACCAGGGATTAGGTCGGTTTAACTGCGTTACTCAGGGGTGTGGATTTTCCTAGTGTAGACCAGGCCTGAGTACCTTTCCCAGACCTGAAGAAGAGCTCTGTGCAAAGCTCGAAAGCTTCTCTCTCTCTCCAGCAGCAGTGGGCCCCAGAAAGGATATTACCTCCCCCACCTTCTCTCTCAAGCTACAAGTGCTCTTCAGAAGGGGAGCTGTGTTTCTCTTGGATGTGATTTGAAAGATACGAGGCTGGGGATGCGTAGATGTGGTGCAATGCTTTGTAAGGCTGATGCTCTATCGCTTGAAGTGTACAGAAGCATTCTGAAGGACAAAGGAATCCTGAAACGGGGCATTGGCACAAACGGCCCGAGAAGCGAATAGCAGGTTCATAAATGTGTCGGTAGCTGCTGAGGAGAAGGCGCAGGGAATTGGTGAAGGAATTCAGCACCTCTCCAGTCTAGCTTGTTTTTTGAATTCAGCCCGAATTGACAGATGGTCACACTGCTTGGGGTCCTGTGGAAAGAGAATTTGTGGCCGGAGCCCAGCTGGTAACTGACTTTGAGGCATCTGTCTCAGAATCCTCCATAACAATTCTTACTAAGAGGCACCCCCGTTGGGCTTGCTGGGGATGGAAGCCATCCGTGGGCATGGCTTGTGCAACTCTTCTCGGGTCCCAGAGGTCATCCCGCTTGTTTTGATCAGGAAGCTTCAGTTGCCCTTGCTGAGCCGACGGACGTTTTGGGCAGGTGGAGGACTCGGTTGCTATTGTCTTGGTGGCTTTTTCCCCCAGCACAAAACTCACCCAGTTAAAGAGGAACTGGTGAAGGTGAAAGACCGAGCTACACATGGTGGTGGGCCTGGCTGATTTTTGTGTCACTTGCGTGCAGTTCACATGCAGAAGCTACGTACCTGAGGGCTAAGTAGCAAAAGCAAAATGGGACGATTGCAGAATAGTCTGACGATTTGCTGAAGGTTTGTGTGTGTGTTTGATGCAAATGCAAATAGAGGGGTGAGTATTGGCATCTGCCTTTCCATAGGGAATCCTGCGCAAGACCTACTGACTCAGCTGACCTACTGCTGATCTTCTGAGGTACTGGGCAGTAGAGTTCAGTGAGCTCTTGCTACTAGTCTGTCTAGTGACAGATCGGCTGGCCAGGCAGCACGTGTTACGGGAGCCGTTCAGGACAGGTTATGGAGTCTGCGCTTGGACACTGCTGGAGAAAGAGGTGGCCAGAAATGATTTTGTGCTCATGGGTTTCATTTAGTTTTTCAATGCATTTTCTAGATTGGCCCCAGAGAAAGGGGATGCCAGATTCCTGCCTCTGGGGCTGCGGCATGGGTGAGCACAAGAGGGATTTGGGGAGGGGCAGGTGAGGCATAAGGGGAAGGGAACAGTTCTTGTCTTGCTCACCAGCCTCTCCCCGGTCTCTCTTCTGTAGCTTCTTGTGTTGATTACTCTGAGGGGTGTGTGTGTGTGTGTGTCCATGTGTGAGATAACAATACTGCCCATGGTTTGCTTGGAAGGAGAGCGCTCTTGGATGCTGTTGCAAATGGAAATGTCATGATTCCTATCAGCATAAAGCCAGCAGGGTTTAAGCAGCAGAAGCAGTGTGTACAGTCTGAGAGCATTAGCTCTACCCAGGTGTGGGTGTTTGAGAGGGCAGCTGCAAGGCAGTTCGGCTCTGCCCTCCCCCCAGCCACCCACACGACTTTCGAAGCCCACGTTCTGAGTCAGTAGCTTTGTGTGGGGGAGTTTGGATGAGTAAAGGATGGTTGGGAGGGATGCGTGCGCGCGCACACACGTGGATGTGCACACAAACACCCCGCGTGTGCGCGCACCCCCACGTGTGTGTGTGTGTGTGCATATAAATGTTCTGTGCTTGCAGGCAAATTTTAAATCCAAACAAAATTGTAAGAGTTGTGTGTGGAGTATTTCAATAATGTTCTCTCTAGTGGGAGAAGTGAAGAGACATACAGGTTAATGCTGCATTTATTTCTTGGAGCAAATATCCAGGCATGGCAATGCACAGGATTCGTACCCAAAAGAACTTCTGTCTTGTTATGGGTTTGCAGGTGACATTTTTCAAACGTCCATTGAGGCGCAGGTAATCACGCAGTGCTGGGTGTGCAGAGATTAACCACATGCCCCTTCCAATCAGGGGCGGCTCCAGGCACCAGCACACCAAGCGCGTGCCTGGGGCGGCAAGCCGTGGGGGGTGGCCTGCCAGTCGCCGTGAGGGCGGGAGTCAGGCTCCCTTTGGCGGTATGCTTGCGGGAGGGCCCGCTGCTTCGGCAGCAATTCAGCGGCGAGTATGCCGAAGGCGCGGGACCGGCAGACCTCCCGCAGGCGTGCCGCCGAAAGCTGCCTGACTGCCGTGCTTGGGGCGGCAAAATACAGAGAGCCGCCCCTGCTTCCAATAACCTGTTTGCTTGTCGTCTTTCCCTAGTACATCGATGCTATCGGCAACAAACAAGGTGAGCTAGAAAACCACGTCTCTGATGGCTATAAGACAGCGCTCACAGAGGAGAGGAGACGGTTCTGCTTCCTGGTAGAGAAGCAGTGTGCTGTGGCTAAGAACACCATCTCCTACCACGCCAAGGTGAGCGACCACCATGTTAATCAGCCTGTGAAGCCGCCTCTGGATAGGAGACCCTCCAAAGAGGTCCAAGTGCTCCCATCAGTATGGGCAGTGATCACACGAGGGCTGTCAATCGTTTTGGTTGGGTGCTCTGTGATGGCTGCCCTTTGATTGGTGTTGGGTTGGAACCAGGGACCTTCAAACAGACTGGTGAATCTCTACAGTTTATGCTAATGAGCCAGACTGTCCATCCGAGCACTATACCAGACCAGTCCCCTGTGGTTCGGGCAGACGGGACAGGAATGCACACTGATCAGGGTACTGCACGTGTGCGTGTATGTGGTTTTTGGTTTTTTTTTTTTCCTGGGCTGTGTAAGCCACAATCTCATCTCTGTGAGGTGGTGGTGTTTTTAGTTTTCAGCCACTCCTTGCAGATTGTGCCCTGGGAGGCGGGTGTTTTGTCCAAAGATCTACGGGATGGCAGGGCACATGCCATTTATCTGCAGGGCCCTGTGGGTGCTGCTTTTCTGGGCTACTGAAGGAGGCCACCACTTCATAGCTCTCCTGGAGAGGCTGCCAAAGACCAGCTCTCACCCAGCCAGAGGAAGCCGATTGATTCGCTGTCTAGAACAACGGTGACTGGCGAGGGCATGGCAGCAGCACACCACGGCCCTGCTTTCCTTTAAAGATGCCAGCCCCATCTCCGGTGCCCCTGCCTCTGCCTAGCACAGCCCAGCTGAGGAACACACCTCTCCGGTACGCTCATGTAATCCTTGAGCTGTCATTAGTCACTGGGATGGAGTACGCAGGCTTAAAGAGGGGGGTCAAATCCCTGTTTGATCTGCTAATGAGTCACAAAACCAGACCAGAACCTGGCGCAGTCACCTTCCTCCTAAAGGGAGGTGAGAAAATTCCTGCTTCTCGTTTTCTGTTTGTCTCGGAGGAGCAGCGAGCGACAGGGAACATGGTGAGCTGGCTCCCTTTGTGAGCCATTGTGACTGCTCCCTTACAGCTCATCGTTAACAAAGGAGAGGATTCAATAGGAAGGCGGCTGTTCCACGCACTGCCTACATCTCTTACGAACTGTTCTGCAGGGGGAGGACAGCCCAGAGCACTCGCCTGTCAGCTGGGATCTCGGAGCAGAGTTCTCTTGCCCGCTTGTGGTGCTCTGTTCGCTAACTCGGGTTGATACTGCGTGTCGGCGAGCATGCTGCTCCCTTAGCACAACAGCCGGCCGCCTGCATGCGCTCGCGCTTCCAGTTATTCCTGCTTTTTTCCCTACATCTCACTTATAATCTCCATCTGTCAAGAGTGAGCTTGGAATAAGGGAGTAACAGAAAAGTCCCAGTGAGTCATCGCTATCCCTGCACTAGAATATATGCTGAGTCAAAACCCGACGTATGTTACAATGGGATGGGGCGGCAGCGGGGGGTGGGGGTGTGTGTGTGTGTAACTCTTCTCTTCAGAGATGGAGGTTCCAGAGTTCTCTCCAAGAGTTGTAAGTGACCTAGAATGTCGCTGCAGCCTCACCCGTTAAAAACAGCCCTTTTGCACCCCAGGCTTCATTGCGGTTTTACACCGTGGCTTCTCGCAGCAAAGTACGTGGACGACTTGTCAGAGGGAATTTTGCAGGCGGTTCATCCGCGCTGCGGGTGGATGGGTGTGTAATGTGTCGGCCAATTTCCGAGGCTGGCGAAGTTAACAAACAGCCATTCCCACCAAAGGCGGCGCTGCTTCTCCCCTGAGATGCTATGGCCTGTCAGCCAGAAGTCTGCACATGAGGTGAAAGGGCTTTGACGTATGCAGTGGAAATGAGACGGGGCTTTTCCTAAAGCCAATGGAGATGGTTTAGGGACTGACTTCAATTTGCCCAAAGAGAATAGTAAAGCTAGAGCAAACAGGTACAGTTTCACCCTGCAATAATGCTGCTTTATCAGTTAATGGAGAATGAGTTAATTTGCCTTCTGGGAGTGGCAGCTTGTCTGCTTTGGCTTCAAAATCAGCTACAGCTCATTTGTAGTGGTGGCATATTGTTCTGTGGTGTGTCCATATTCCGGAAGCCATTAGGTGGGTGTGCAGTTGAGCTGCGTGGACGGTGGCACCTGCTCCTTCTGTGTTTGGATGTGGGAGCAGTTCCTGTAGCATTATCTAGTTTCCCAAGGGGACAAAACCCAAACTACCAATTCCCCTGCTTCGACAGAAGCTACAGGTCTTAATTTAGGCAAGAAAACCCAGAAACCGAGTTCAGCCCCTGACCTTTGGGCTGGAGCATTGCCGTGGCCTCTGAACATGAGGGGACCCCTATACCATCTGGCCCCAATGCCTAATCGCAGCCAGCTGAGGCAGGCTGAAGACTGAGCTTCAGCTTCAAAATCCTTGAGATTGGAAACTGCAGAGGTCGGGCAGCCCTGTCAGACTAAATGAGGAGTCCTCTGCCTGTGCTGCCGTCTGGTTCCCAGAGAGTTCATCGCATTTCTCCCCTCGCTGCGTGCAACAGATGGCGAACGCTAACGCTGCATCTGCATCTGTTGTTTTAATATGCCACGGCTGTGGTCAGTGCTGTTCTATTGGATGCTTCTGACTATCCCCGGGTTTCCACCTCTGCCGTTATTAGCTTTTTATTGGTGAGGCGTGCAAGTCTTCTGGCATGGACATGATGTGCTGCAGGGACTCTCCCCTCTGCCTGCAGTCTGTCTCAGAATAACAATCCTTCATTAGCCAGCCCTGGGAATACAGCTGTCTGCTGACCCCCAGCCTCCGCTGCTTAGCAATTTCCAGATTTAGCGGAGTGGTATTTCTGAGGATTGAATGGTACAATACTGCCTCCAGCCACCCCCTTCCACAACATGCCCCAAACCTGTCTGCTCTGGCTGGCCGTGGGGGATGGCACAGCCTTGTCAGCATCACAAAGCAGCAGACTTGTACAGCCAAATATCAGAACAGCAACTCTGGACTTTCCGCTTGCTCACCCAGCGCGAGAAGCGGGGTCCCCCTTGCTTTGTGCTCCAAAAGAATAGCAATGGATGCCAAGCAATGAATGCTGCACTAACACAATTTGTGCTACCAAGTCACACACCACACGTGTTCTCCCCCAGCAAAGCTGGCTAGGAGCTGTCGCTGGATAGCGAACTGGTGTGGCTTCCAGTGCGCGCTTCTCGCCTGAGCCTTTGCTTGCAATAGATTTCTTGGTGTACAGGAGAGTTCAGATAAACTGAATAGCCCAGCTCTCCCTCCCTCCCTTTCTGCTCTGGCTCGTCCATTCTTCAAGCTGCCACGCATGCAGAATGTTTCCAAGTAAGCTAGGGAAATAAAATACTCTTCAATTTTTCATGAGACCATACTGTCTCGTCTGCCATTCTACACCCAATATTTGTGAGGTGCCGTGCTTTGTCCTGTTTGTTACACACCCGGGTAGATAAATCTCACTTACTGCTCTAATTAGATGAGTAGAGAGGAAATCTGGGCTAGTGGCACTCTGTGTTCCAAGCCGGCTCCGGCGGCAGCATAGTCATGGTCTGCTTTCTGTGCCTCCTGGAATCCAGTCTGAAGAACGGATATTTGGGGGGCCTGGGTTGAGATGGGAGCTTTGCCGTGATCATTCTCTGCCCCTCCTCCTGAGAGGTGAGTGGATTTGTCTGGGGTCTCTTGTGTTCTCACTCTTTTTCTCCCCCTCCCCCCCCTGATTCTAGGGGAAAGAGATCTTGACACAGAAGCTCCCGATTTGGCAGCAGTCTTGCTCGGACCCCAACAAGATCCCAGACCGAGCTATCCAACTGATGCAGCAGATGGCCGTCAGCAGCAACGGCACAATCATCCCCAGCTCCCTGTCTACGTCCAAATCGAACCTAATCATCTCAGACCCTATCCCCGGGGCCAAACCGCTCCCTGTCCCACCAGAGTTGGCGCCCTTCGTGGGGGTAAGTATGCAAGGCATCCGTGCTGCTGCCCTTGCTGAGTAACGTTATGGGTGTAGTGAGCCTAGCACGGTCTCGCTAGCCTCCACCAGTCAGGCAAGTCCCCTGCCAATAAGCTTTAGACCGCATTCAGCGGTGGGGCTTTTGGGGAATCCCCTAGTGCACACTTGTGAAGGGGGCTGGCGTGGGCCAGTGTGAAATGGACCATCCTGCTTTATCATGTCTTTGAGGTTTGTGTGACATTCGGTGCCTCCCTGTGAAGACAGCCAGGATTTGCAAAGCCCCAGGGGGAGACAGGGACCACCGTTTTTGAGCCCTGGCTTTGCAGGAAGAGTTGGGGAGGGAACCTCAGAGGCTGCATGATCCAGTGAAAACTGCTTAGCAATGTAAATGAAAGGATGTTCCACTTGATGTAGTCAATCTGTGGGACTTGCTGTCGGAGAGGACTGAACTGAAATCCTCTGGGTGGGCTTAGAAATGGGCTGTCTGAATGCTAGCATGTCTCACTTCACCTCCTGTCAAGAGGTGTATTTGTATCTCCGCCTGCTTGGCACACACTGATCACGGCAGGGATCTGGTCCCTCACGCCACCCTAGATGGCTTTACCCCTCCTCCTGAAGCATTAAGAGCAGGCCATGACTGGAGGCAGGATACCAGACACAATAGACCGGGGCCTGATCGTGTATGGTAAACCGTATTCTCCTAAAGTGTGTGGGTCCTTTACGGAAATGTGACCTCTACGTGGCTTGACATCCCTGATGCTGAAATCTCCCATTGCCCTTTCTCCTTTCAGCGCATGTCGGCACAAGAGACCATTCCCGTGATGAATGGCGTCTCGGGCCCTGAGGTCGAGGACTACAGCCGCTGGCCCGAGATGAAGCCAGCCCAGCCAAAATCCCTAACTCCTCCCCAGCATCAGAAGCAACTGAGTGACTCGTACTCCAACACACTTCCTGTGCGCAAGAGCGTCGCACCGAAAAACAGTTACGCAACCAGTAAGGATTTAGCCTCCGTCAGATCACAGAGCAGCGACGTAGCCGCTTCTCCCAGGGGGCTATGGGTCAGCTGCTGACCGGAGCTAGGAGTAGCAGCAGTTCAGGGTCTTTGCACCTTAATGCAGTGGGAGGAGGCAAGGTGGGCTCAGGTGGCACAAAAGCCTAAGTGGGGGCAATGGCTTCCTCAGTTAGTGACCGTGAAGTGTCACATGGTGACTGTAACTGCCTGGTTGACTTTCTTAGTAACTATGCAGTAATTCATGGCCTCTCCCAAGAACCATGTGAGGTAGTGTCTCCCTTTTCGCACGCCTTTGGGCACAGGATTAGAAAATAAAGGGGGCAGATTTGGGCTGCAGTTTCCCTTGGAAGGAAAAACTTTGAGCCCTATGACAGGATTCCTGATAAGCAAATCGGAAGGAATCTGGGAGCGGGAGGAGGGATTGTAAACGCCAAGGCTGCAGCCATCTCTTTAGGGTGTTTGTACAACAGCGAGCACAGGGCGGCCCTCACCTTGATTGGGCCGCTAGGCACCATAATCATGATGATGATGATTGTCTCTTTGCGTGATGGGATAGGGTCACTGGATTAGGCCAAAGATAGTGGGACCTTCCCTGCTGAGTCTTTATTCCTCTTATGCCTGCGGTCATATGCAGGTGTGTATCTCAATGCATAGAGACAATGCCTCTCACCTGCTTTAGTTCACTTATCCGCCTCCCCGTGGGCATGTTTCCAGGAGGGTCACGCACTTCTCTCCTCTGGGTTTTTCCCTTCGCTAATGTTAACATCTCAGAGCAAAGTGTCTGAAATAATGAATGGAACCTGGGCGTAAACCATTACAAATAGGTCTATTTGCATACTATTCCAAGTCCTCCTACCTTAGCACAGAAATGCATCCGTTGCATCAAAGGTGTGAAATGAGGAGCATCGAATGGGGGGTAGCCGTTAAGTTAATATTCTGACCGTTTGCCTAAATGCTCTCCACTGGGGAGAGAGTAAGAGGAACTGCACCAATCAGACTGGGTCCACTGAGTACATTCACTTAAGGTCTTTATAACCGACTGCTCAAAAAAAAAATAGCCCAGAATTAGGGGGGAGGGGGAGGAGGGTCTGAGCTGTACTGGCTAAAAGGGGGTTAGTTTTCCTTAACTGCCATGCTGGCTGAGCCTTGGGTAGATTAATGACTCTAAATGCCACAGTAGAAAACTGCCAAGGATGTGGTCAGCCACATGGTCTGAGATCTTGGGGCTTTCTTTGCGTCTCACCAGCTGAAAACAAGACCTTGCCACGCTCCAGTTCCATGGCTGCCGGGCTTGAGAGGAACGGCAGGACGAGAGTACAGGCCATTTTCTCTCATGCTGCTGGTGATAACACCACCCTCCTGAGCTTCAAGGAAGGAGACCTCATCACGCTCCTGGTGCCGGAGGCCCGAGATGGATGGCACTACGGGGAGAGTGAGAAAACAAAAATGTGAGTATCTGAACTCCCTAGAACTACAGCTGCCTCAGCACCTAGCTCTTAACATGGGAGTAGCTGGCACGCCAGACTTGCTTAGCTGCCAGCCAGTGTTTCCTGGCATCCCATCATGCCACTTGGTTACTATGGGAGTCGAAAATTGTGAGCAAGATGAAATACCAGCGTTGCTGGCTGATGTTTGGTAAAGCACCGACCTGAGGCGCAAGGCCAGGCTTTTGAGTGCTGGGCTTCTGGTCTTGACTCTTTATCCCAATTTCACTTGTGTGACACATGGGGGGCTGAGCGTGGGGCCCTTGCTAATGGCAGAATCGTGGCGTGCTTGTGCAGCACTATCCGTAACGCCAGCAACCTTAAATAACCTCCTTACCGCGCCGCAGAGCCTCCCAATAAAGCAAACGCTCCAGATGGTCTTGGCAGGGATCTGACCTGGCGGGGACCGCTGCTGGGGCCAGCAGCCGGCTCCTAATGGCCCGGGAAGGAGAAGCAATTTTAGTCCAGCGTACAAAACCTGGAATCTTACATTTAAAAAAACCCAATCCTGTTGCCTGCAAAAGTCCTCCCCCATTTTTCCTGTAAGTGTGTGTGTGTGTGTGTGTGTGTGTGTGTGTGTGGGATGGGAGACTCTGAGAGGGGGTGTCCAAGGCAGGGAATGGGCCTTTTTGAGTAGTATCCCTAAGATCTGGAGTTTTTACCACACTTGACTTATTGGTTTGCAGTGTGTGTAGCGCCCCCTAGAAAGCCATGATCCAAATGATGGTCCCTTCTGTCATGGCATAGTGTGGTATGTAGCCGGAGCGTAATGTTCATAGACTCCTCCCGCCACACATCTCTGCGTGAGCGGCTAGGTTTGACTGTCTTGTGGCTCTGCATTACAGGAGAGGCTGGTTCCCTTTCTCCTACACGCGGGTTCTTGACAGCGATGGAAGCGACAGGTTGCATATGAGGTAAAAACATCCCCTTTAAAAAAACGTGATGCGTGGTGGTGCGTGGCAGCCGGTGACATTCCCTTGGGTCTGGGGAAAAGCTCCCAGCACTGACCGGCATGTGTCCAGGGCCCGAGGCAACGATGGACTGTGCTTTTCTCAGCTTTGTCGAGCCAGTCTTGCCAACTTTGTTATAGAAACGTCGTGAGATTTTCCGATGTCATGTCTGTAGTGGAGTAAACCAGAGAAATATGCAGGGAAGTGAGACTCCTCACCAGGCGTGTGTTGCATCAGACATGGTCATATGTGACGCCAAAACAACTAAGGAAAAGGCTCTGGATGTCCTAGGACGGGTCTCAAACTCAATTTACCTTAGGGCCAGTGCCAGTCCTAAAATCCTCCCAGCAGCCCAATGTCACTCATGCCACCCAGAACCTGCCCCCCAAAAAACTCTGCCCCCCACCTGCCTATGGCTCTGGGGTGGAGTTTGGGTGGGGGAGGAGGTACGGGGTAGGGGATTGGGGTGCAGGCTCTGGGAGGGAGTTTGGGGGCTGGGGTGCCCCCCATAGCACTGCTTTACCGCGTTATATCCAAATTCATGTTATATCAGGTCGCATTATTATCGGGGTAGAGGTGTACCTTTAAATGGATTAGCGTGTGGGAGGCTGTGATTTTTCCCTGTCCATTACTGCTAAATGGGAGGGGGTCCAGGCTAGATGGAAGGGGAGCCCTGATACAGGGAAGGCTGAGAACTGCTGGATTAGTCTTATCTGCTGGAGAAGTGACTGTCTGTAGAGGAGAAACCAGCTCTCCCAGAAGAGCTTGGTGTACGCTCCACAGCTTGCCCCTCTCACCAACAGAAATGGGTCTAATAAAAGAGATTATCTCCCTTACCTTCTCTCTCTCATGTCCTGGGACCAACACGGCTCCAGCAGCCCTGCATGTCTGCAGAGGACTCCGTCACAATTGTGAATGATAAATAATTGCCCCTGGTTAGTGAGCGTCTAGGCTAAAATGTGCCACGGGATTTCGCTGTGCTCCCTGCTTGAGGCCCCTGTGACACCTGGGCTGCGGCGCTAAATACGTGGCTAGCACCAGCGCCACTGGGCAGGATCCCCAGGGGAGCCTAGCAATGGCAGGAAAGCGTGTGTGGGTGGCGGTTGGTTGATTGATGATTTTCCTGTTGTAGCTTGCAACCAGGGAAAAGCAGTAGCACGGGCAACTTGCTGGATAAGGACGACATCGCCATCCCGCCGCCAGACTACGGCGTGTCCTCATCCCGGGTCTTCCCACCACAACCTGTCAGCACTTTCAAACAGAGACCGTACAGCGTGGCAGTGCCTGCCTTCTCCCAGGTGAGGTGCCGGGAGCCCGGGGGGAATCGGTAACCTGTGGATGCAGAGAGTGAGTGCGCGTTAATCGCTTGCCTCCAGCGGGAGAGCTGCCGGGAGAGCCGGCGTTCTGGAGTCTTGGGGGCCGGCGGGGGAGTTAAACCGAACAGCCCTTGAATGCCATGAGAAATGGCTTTAACAGCAGCAGTGTTGTTCGGGTAGGGGGCGAAGCTGTTGGGTTAGCGCCTGTTGCTGCTGTCGATCCGTCGTGTGGGTTTCCCTTGGGGATGCGGGAGTTGTGCCTGATGGTTTCCGTTCGCAATAGACACCCCTGGGTGAAATTTTCAAACACGCCCAAGTCCCATTTTCATAAATGACTTGGGAGCCTAAATCCTATTGACTTTGGATGAGCCTTTAGCTCCCATGGGCAGATTTTTAAAGGTATTTAGGTGCTGAACTTCCATTGAAATAATGGGAGTTAGGCACCTAAATACCTTTAAAAATCTGCCCCCAAAATGGGGCTTAGGCTCCTAACTCATTTAGGCCCTCTTGAAATTTTTACCTCAATGTTGTTTTTTCTAGTCTTAACTAAATAAGGGGAGTGGCTGCATTTGGGGAAAACGCTTGGGGGAGGGTTTAAAAAACCACCCCAACAAACCCCCCAAAAGCACCAACACAACCTCTCCCCTACCCTCCTCTTGGGCAGCTTCAGGCTGTTGAATCCCCATTTAATGTAGCAGATCAGACAATGATTTCCAGACTCCTTCCTGTAGCCGCTGTGGGTTGCAGTATTAATCCAGGGCAGGGTTCCTGCGTGCCTTTAGCTCTGCTCTAGGTACAGGCGTCTGCCCCAACCTCTTGGCTCACTCTCCTTGGCTGTTCAGATGTGCCGTCAAAGGATGGGCGTGTGGAATGCCGGTCAGCTGGGAAGAGCTTGTGGGAATGCACTAAACCAGGGAACGCAGGGAATGCACCCCCCAGGAGACAGCCAGTGCCCGTATTCTCCCCATACTGAACTGAGTGGCCTTCCCTGGTTTCTGTGATGTGCAGCAGTGAGTGGGAGGAGGGTTTTACGTACTGGAGTCTCTATGGCCCTGGCGCTGGTGGGAGCCCTGGCTGCAGCACCATGAAGAGCTGTTTTTACAGTGGAAGTAGATGTGGGAGGGTGTTAATTTTATTTTCAATGTTTTACTTTGATGTTGGCCTATTGCAAGTGAATGAGGGTTACTCTCCAACAGGCCTGTGTTCATTATTTATAGGACTACCTTATGCCCTATGGTTGTGCAATTAAAGAATACTCCCGTGGCCTGTGCCAACTGCCATCTGCTCACTACAAGCCTTACACTAGGTCAACTGTAAGTCCAAACGAAAGCGATGTTTCCATTGGGGTTTACCAGCCTTTGCTGTTTTTGCCAGATGATTCTTCGTAGCTTACCCAGAGCTCCATGATCTTTTTCCTTCCCGGCCCCCCCCAGGGGGGAATAAAAAAAACCCCCCCCCCCCCCCCCCTTTCAAAAATTATAGTGGGAGAGGAAAGCCAAAGTGATGGAGAAGATGAGCCAGTTGGCTGACTTGGAGAAGATGGGTGAGACACACAGAATGGCACAAAATGGCAGCATAAACTCCCAATCGACAACACTTGCTGCTTCCATGAGAGCCTCCCACCAGAAATGAGTTACGGGTCGTATCCATAGATTTTGAGGTGGAGAAAGCCCCTGGCGCCCCAGCCCCACCCGAGACCAGCAGTTATCAGAGCCCCTTGCTAATGTATGAGCTTTAAAGGACTCCTGAGATGAATAAGTTGATCCTTTGTCACTGCTGGACAGAGCAGCATGAGACAACATAGGCTTGTGAGGTGGGAAGCTGTGGGCGAGGAGTTGGGGTTGGTATTCGTAGACGAGAGGTAACTAGGTAGAATGGCCGCCTCAGGCCAGGGACGTGAGGCAGGATTTTTACTTGAAAAGACCAAGCTCTCCGTTCAGAACCGCCCTCCCCCGGCTTCCTGGGCCGTGTCCGCGTTACCGTGGGTCCTGGGGGCTCAGCAGGCCCCACAAACAGACTAAAAAATAATCATTCTGTTACTCGGCTGGAACAGATGCAAAGCGAACATTGACGTTAAATAGATCTCAGGCTGGCTCCAGCATGGGGCCACGCGGTGCCGGCTGCCACAGCCAGACTGCAAGTCCCAGGATGGGCCGAGCTCCCCAAGTCAGCAATCTGCCCCTTCTTGAGACAGTGAGCAGAGGACCGGCATGTTAGCTCCTGGCCACTCCACCAGGAGCTTGCGAAAAGCTATGCCCAAGCTGGGAAACTGAGCCCCACTTCTGTGCCTGCAGCTGAAGCACAGTGTGGGGGGGGGAACAGTCTCACGTCTTGCTAGTTGGCGCCAGATGAGCTGAACGAGGAACTGGCTCTCTGCAGGGGTGTTTGGCGAGGACAGATATTTGTATCAAAAATAATCTATTCCTGGACTGCCAGAACCTGCTTCTCGGATCCCAGGGACCTGAGTAGCGGGTGCAGGACTCATTGGTCTTGACTCATAACCCAGTATTGCTCACCAAGAAGAGAGCTACTGTCGTCTCCTCTGCCGGCCCCCCTTCTCCCTCCGCACAGATCCTGGCACGGGGATGGAACATCCAGGGTCCCCTGCACTAGAGTGCCACGTCCATCTGTTCCACAGAAGGCTGTAGGCTCCCCCTTTCTGTCCTCCCCCTCCGGCCACCCACAGCATAATGCTATTCAGTACCAGTCCAAGCAGCCGACAGCCCAGAGCGCTGCAATTTCTGGTGGGATTCGGTTACAAGAAACACACTTTTCACAGACCATTTCACCAGTGTGCGCCTAACTTCTTACTTTGTCCCTTTCAAAGTGCGTGTGACGCTCCTTGATAGTTACGGGATCTCTGTAGCAAGGTGGAGCCGGACGGCAGGAGCTAGATTCCTTCTGCCTTTCCTGTAACCGACCTTGTTGTGTAAAGTCACACGCTCTGCAGAGATGAGTGTCACTTTACTCCATGCTGCATTAAACCCCATTTCAATCACCTTCATCACTCTCTGCTTTCTAATACCCCGATGCTTCGGCTCTGAGCCTGAAAGCCATTGGGGCCCAGTGTATTTGCTTCTGTTGTGTCCTTCCAGTGCCATCTAATGGCAAAGCCTGTCTCTCTGCCGTCTCACGGTTGGTTTCTTTTTCTCCCATAGGGCCTTGAGGACTATGGGACGAGAGCTGGAAGCAGGTAAGCCTCTCTATTTCCCATCGTGTTCAGTAAAGTGAATCATAATGTTCAGAGCGCTGGGTACAGTAAACAACGCTGCAGTATCCCTTGGCAGGACGCATTCTGGGAGGTAGCCATACGCTGGCACGCAAGCAGGTGATGCTAGATGTGGCAGTTTAGACGTAAACATGGGGTTAGATAATTTAGGCATTGATAAATCTGAATTTGTCATCTGCGTGTGGGGCAACCATGAGTCTCCTAGGAGAAGAGTCCAAACGTATCTAGCTTGTGTCGGCCTGTTCCAAGCACAGCTTTGGCCTCTCCCAGGGTCACTACTTGGCTCAGAGACTCTGCAGCAGATGAGCAGTTCTCACTTCTCAAAAGCAGGCTAATCCGAAGGGAACATCAGCACCGCCAACGTCTCACATTCCACCGGTTCAAACTGGGGCAGCCTTTCTGGACATTGCTAGAGTATCTTCTCTTGGTACTTTCCCCTCTAGACACTCTCACTCCGCTCTCTCCTGCCCCGATGGGGACTCAGCCCAAAGTATAACAGAATGGGAAGGTCTGTCTCCAGAATGCAGGCCCTTCTGCCTGCGTTCGGAACGCTCTCGTTGAGTAAAGGGAAAGCAGCCTCTTGCCCGGGGATAGGGGTTCACTAGTTTGAGCCCTGCGTTGGTGGGAGGAACTGAAATATTTCAAAATAAAGAGAGAAGAAACCTCCCACTTTTTGCCATGTTGTGAGTGAAATGGCCACCAGTTGTGATGAGCAGGATCTGAACCCGAACGCCAGGGCTGCATGTGGTTCCTCTCCCTCACTGGGGGACAGCCAGAGAAGTCGCACATGGAGCAACTGCAGGAGTTGCTCAGAGCGCTCTCAAGAGATGGTTCGCTTTAAGCAAAAGCGTAATGCGCTCTGCGTTCTCAGCCAGCTGTTCTAGGGAAGTTGTAGGGTAAAGCCAGGGCGCAGAGGACTAACCTGAGCTCCGGAAAAGGGATACTGCATTGCAATAAGTGTGTTGTTGTCCATCTGATGCTCTTTGCAGTGAAGTGCAGTCTGGCAGTCTTCCTGTGCTTTCTATTCCACAGTGGCAATGGCACTTTGGTATCAACTGTGTGAGGACACCTGGCTAGAAATGGCAACTGCTGCTTTGAAGAGTTTTCTGCTTCTTTCCCTCTTTTCTTTTCTCCTTTTATACTTCTTCTTAGTTTGGATTTTTAACTCTTGTGATCATCCAAGGAAACCATGGTGCTGCTACCTTCCCCTCCCTGATGTTTACAATGCCCTTGTTTTGTGAAGCCTTTCAGAGCAGGAACTGCCAAACAGGGTGTGCTAATTTCTGGAGCAGCCTGGATGCAGTTTACAGTTACTGGGCAGATCCAGTTTTTGTACTTTGTGAATGTTCAAAGATGCACTATCCCTTTTCTGAGGCTTAACATGAGCCACACCGTCCTAACAAAATGGAAGAAACCATTTCCAATACTGAACAAATATGCATGGCCTATGGTATACGTACTGTTACTTTAACTATCCTTTCCACTTCATTCTGATGCCAATTTCCTGTTTCTAAGGGGAAGGCAGGTGTAGACACTAGAGAGGTTTGGTCATTTCCCTCTCTGGGTGGCATCCACTTTAATTCAACCAAACTCGACATGGTTGCTTTAAGAAAAGTGGATAGTGCAGAGGTTTAGGCCTCAGAGAGAAATAGTTGGTTCTTGGTGGGGGTTGGACAGTTACTCTGCTCCATCTAATTAAACCACCAGGGCTGACTCAAGCAGCATTGTTGGAAGGTTCATTCTTTCTTTTGTTGTATATTTTGTAGCAAGGTATTGTTACCTCACGTTCGTGCTCTGGGGGATAAATCATGGGATTATGCAGCTTGCCAGAGCAATCCAAAGACTCTCTTGCATTTTGAAATTGGACTTTAAAAAAAACAACTGTTTTTTGGTTTGGTTTTTTTCTTGGGAGGGTGGCTGGAGGGGAGAAGAATTCCAGTGTTTAATTTCCTAAATCCTGTCAATCTTCTTTGTGTGTCTTGATAACTTTAGAGACAAACACAGTAGGATTGGAATTAATGGCTACTGGTATTGCTTCTTCAATCACTGAGTGCGGAGAAGTCAGTAAGTGGCCCACTCCCAGAGTACAGACTTAACCCTTTCAGTTCCGGTGAAAGTCTTCATTGCAAAGCTGTACACACTTCCTCTTTCTGATGTGATTTTAAAACCTCTTTACATGCCTGTTTACTAGGACATTGCTGGCAATATACACACACACATCACACACAGAAAAGGTTTTTTTTGTTTGTTTTATATAATAGACTATGGGCATATGTAATAAGAACCTCCTGCGTTGATGTCATAATTTTGCTAAAGATTTTTAATCCAGGATATTCCGTGCTAAATGAATGAATGTAGAAAATTAGCAAAACTTGTATGAAGATTGTAAAGTGCTGAAAACCTTTTTTAAAAGCTGAAGAGAAATGTGCCCTGTACTGAGTTATTGTTTGAATAAAAGTTTTATTTATTGCATTGAGTTGGGCCTTGGTGGTTTTTTCAGCTTTCATGCCTATATCACTGACCAATCACCAGACTGCCTCTGCCATATATATATATTTTTTTCCATTCCCCATGATCTTGAAGGGCCAGAAAATGACCTTTTTCCTTACCCAGTTTCTCTGGTCAGTTTGCAGGTCTGGCAATTTGCCTTAAAGTCAATTGCTGAATGGAAGCGGCTGTAATAGTGTTTAAATACATAGTCCCCATGCTCAGCCAGTGTCTTGATTTGTCTTGAAAGGCTCGCTGTTGCAGGTGAATGACTTGCTGATCTCCAGTACAGGATAAACCTAGAATTAGTTGCTTTGCAATATGGCTTGTGGGTAATACCACAAAACCAAATGCAGCTCTTTCCAAACTGCATTTGGGTGTCACTCAGGAGGTTTGAATGCCGTTAACTGAAAGTAAATGGGTCTTTTTTTCTTTTTTTTCCCCTTTGCAAACTTGTATGAAGGGGAAAGTGAGTTCTGAGAGGAGTCTGGTGCAGGGTGGGAATGCTGCAGGGTATCTTTCCCATGACTGGCATATAGAGGATCTAACTGGGTTTGTCCTTCATTGCAATCTTCACAAGGGGGTTGTGATGAGGAAGAGTTTGTGTCTTAAGTGCTGTATAAGTGATAAGTATTAATAACAAATACAACTTTTCCTTTTTTGCATCCTGTGTCTGAAGAAGCATGTAACCCAGCCGGTGACCTCTCCTGGGAGTGGAGCGATCCCAGGGGAGCAGCCGGCTCCTAGCCTAGCTTCTCTAATTAACCAGATACCCTTTTTATTTCTCACTAAGGCTGCTGAGTGCGTATTAAACACGTCCTACAAACTGCCTTTTGTTTCCATTACAGCCCCGATGTTGAAGTGGCCAGGTTTTGATGTCCCTGACTAGTTAGTAAGTTCACAGTTTTATGTGCCAAACCCCTCACTATTGCAGTGCTTTGTACTGACTGGTCAGAACCTGGCGGCTCAGCACCAGGCTAATGAACGGGGGAGGGAGGGAGCAAAATGGGTCCTTGATCTGCTCACTGTGACCATCAATCCGAGCGAACGCTGGATGGGCACTGTCTTGTCTTTCACTAATGTCCATCGCCAGGCAATGCCAGTCAGTTCAGAGCACAGCTCCTAACTGGGCTCAATCACTCGCTTGCACCTAAACCCATTGGTGGAAGCCTCTCTGCCTTCCTGGGGCTCCTGAAATGGATTCCTCTTCCTACACTGTCGTTCCATATAAGCCTCAATGTGCCCGTCTCTCTAGCCACACCTGTATCTGCACGGCTCGATGCATAGTGCCTGCCCCGTCTCCACCCCTCCCTCCCGCACTGCTGGGGCAGAGCGTGCGCAGCCTTCTGGTTTCATGCTTCCATGGCTGGGCAATGAGCATCTTTGGCGTATTCCTGCTTTTTAGAATTCTCCCCTTTAAATAACAACCCATCTTGGTTTTAGGTCTTCAGTGAGTCCCAGCGTCTGCTGCCATCACTGGGTCACGGTGATGTTCACCGCATCAGATGCACCTCCGGTGACTGGCACTTCATTGCCATTTTGCACAGCCTTTTCCCAGTCTTCTGGCACGTAGGGATAGAAAACCTACCTTTTCACTATTTAACAGGTGGTTTGGGGGTGATGGTAGAGTTAATGTCCATTGCCCTCCACTCTGCAGAGCTGCGGGTCAACATCGGCTTTGGTACAGTGACCGTTAGTTTGGTAGCCTCCATCTAGTCTCCCAGGGCTGATTGGTGGCCTTTGTTCAGCAGTAGCCAAGGGCTGTAGTAGCAGGAGGCTGAGGGGGAGGGGAGGTTTCCTTGCATAGCACTTCCAGGAGCTCCAGCCTCCTCCCCCCTCCCCCAAGCCCGAAGTTGTTTTTTGAGTCTGAGATTTGGGGGGATGCTGCAGGCTCTGATCCACCTCTCTGCTTTGCCAGAACAAAGATGGTTAAATAATCCCTGGTGAGTCATTGTCACCTTTTCATTCCTTTCACGCGACATCAATTCTCCAGGCATCCTAGGAAAAAAGCAACCTGAGAATCTGCATAAATTAGGTGGGGAAACTAATCACTTTGGCTTGAAAACAGGGAGTTAATCTTCTTGCTGGAAACCAAGCCACGATTTAAAGAAGAGCTGGTGCTGCACCAGGGAGCTGGGCCTTGGGGAGGTGCGATTACCCTTCCCCTAGCACTGCTGGAAGGCTGAGCCACTCTTCCTGTGTTGGTGCTGGGGGCTGAAGTTCTGGATTTTAAACAGAGGCTTCATACTAGTAGGTTTCTTGGCCAGCAAGGCCTTTACCCTGCTCTCGGGCCCAGGGAGCAGTGGGGCAGCCGCTCGTGTTTGCTTGGTGAGTGTGGGGATAACCTAGAGAACCACAGTGAGAAAAGGAGGGCCAGATCCCTGCTCCTAATGCCCCTGCCCCTCCCCACAGTATTTTTCATCCTTAAACTACGGTCCCTGATTTCCTCAACTTCCCCCCCCCCACACACACACACACACCCCATCCTGTGCGCGCACACACTCTCCAGCCCATCTGACCCCTACGGAGACCATTTGGGATGCTTCTCCCTAGCTAACGTTTTGCTAGACCTAGTGTTTCAAGACACAGGGCTGCACTAGCTGCTGAGGGCATGGGGGGAGCAGCAGAGTGAAACCCTGGAGCACCGGATTTAGAAGGGGGGTGAGGAGCAGAGAAGCAACACCACAAAAAGGCTCCGGCTCTTGCTTTGCAGCCAGGCTGGGAGTGTTGATGGGACCCTCCAAGGCTCCTTGTCTGCAGCCAGGGCTGCTGGGTATGGAAGTGGGGCCCTCAGCGATGAGAGGGGTTGCAGTTCAGAGGGAGCAACTCAACATTCAGGTACCCCAAAAGTAAGCTCCTTAAAGATCCCTCCCCCTCCGCCAGGAACATCTTTTGTGGCTCCCTGCTGAGTGGTCTCTGTGCCCCCCCGAGACACACTGCTCCTGGGTGCCTCACCATGTCACCCTTCCAGCAGCGCTATGAGATTGCTAAAGAGCAAATGCTGCCTTCAAGTAATTGTTGAGCCTAAAATTGTTGCACTGTGCCAAGTTTTAACCTCACTTGTGCTTTTCCTCCCACGTTTGCCTCACCCAGCCTGACTGTCAAACAAGAATAGGATCTCTGGTCAAGACCCTCAGCAGCTTATACGGGTACATCTACACCATGGGGGGGGAGACCGCATAGCAGTGTATCTTAGCACCCAGGGGTACAGCTGCAGGCTTTTACCCTATGGCCCTAAAACTGAGTAGATGTTCCAGGTCGGGCTCTGAAGCCTGGGGGGAAGCGAGGGGGACTGGTCAATGAGTAGGGTGGAAGGGATGGCGAGAGCTAGTGGAAGGGAGAAGAGCCATGGTCTGGAAGGAGCAGCAGGACAGAGCTGGTTAGAGGAGGGGTGGGGATGCAGCTGCATGCAAACAGCCCCTTGGAGCTGCCCTGGTATTTACATCCTAAAGTGCATCCCAAACCTGCCGGCCTCTGGCAGCCCTGCACCTACCCAAGGAGTGCTGCCACCCGGCCTGGGAAGCAGCCCAAGAGTGTCTGTGCATTGCAGCAGCTTCTCTTCATCCCCCCTAGAGCTGTACGTTGTCCTTCACCCCCAGCCAGGCACGCTTCAGTCCTGACCTGCTCTTTGATTTCTCCCCCTCCCCCGACTGGTGCCAAAGGGGTTGGAAGCAAAAGGGTGTAATAAAGTAGGGGAGCAGCCTGTCCTCTTGGTGGAGGGTCTAATGGATTAGCCAGAGTGGCCCTGCCCTTAGGGGGGCAGGAGGAGGGATGAACCCAGGGAGAGGGGTCACTGGAGGTCAGCGTCTCCTGGGCAGGAGGTGCGGCTGTTCTTTCCGCTCCTCGGGTTGTGATCGGCTCGGTGCCTTCCTGACGGATCCTACCCAGCCATGACTTGTCTCCTCCGCTCTTATCCTCTAAACCTGGCGGGAGAATGTGTTTGCTGCTGTGTCTGTCTGCAGAGCTGTTGTCTGTGGTGTGGTGTGATGTGATGTGATGTGGTGTAGGAAGAACCCCTGGTGGTCTACAAATACTGACCGGCTCCGGGGCAGTAACCGACAAAAGCCCTGGGCTGGGGCCTCTTCTTTTTCCTTGAGGAGATTTTTGTGCTGCTGTGTTCAGAGCTGATCTGTATTTTGCTTTATTAATCTCCTGTGCTCTGGCCAGGCTGAGGAGCCATCCGGGGGAAAGTGGCCCAGGCTCAGGGCCGGCTGTCTTCTGCTGGCCCCCTCCCCGGTGCTCTGGCTGACTTCTCTCCTCCACCCACTTCTCTGCACGGACTCCTTGGCCCGTGCAGGCTGTGCCCCGCGCTGATGCAATTAGGGGAGTGAGCTGAAAGTCCCAGGTAGGGGGGTCTCCAGAGCTCCAGCAACGGGAGCATGAGCACCCTGCTTGGTTATCAAGCAGTTGCAAGGCCAATACAAGTGCCGGGGGTTATAAATCATATCATGAACATGCATCGGCCAGCCAGGTGTGCGTGTAAGATGTAACGCACAGCATGGCTGGCTTTGAAGCGTTAACGAAGCTGCGTTTCTTTCGTGTGGCTGAAGGACTGGAACTGGAATGTTTTTTTTGTTTAAATGTTTGGTCCGGTCAAATTCAAGTGTCTCCTTTCATGCCACCTCCCCTTGCAAATTTCAGCCCAGCTGCTGTGAAACTCCCTCAGAGCACATGCCAAGATAAATTGGTGAGCTTCCTCCAGCTGGCTTGTTGTCTGGGTGGAAACCACCGTCCGTCCTTCCTCCTGCAAGGAGGCTTAGTTGAGCTCTGACCGCCTTGGGAGAGTCCATCCTGTGCATAGTGGTAACTCCTCAATCTCCTCTCTGCCATCTCAGCTTCCTGAGATCAGGTAGCCTGTCATTGTAATCCCTCAGCTTCTCCATGTAAGGAACATAGGTCTGTACCTCCAGCAGTCCTGATCCTAATGCAGATCCATAGACGTAGCTGTTGGTTGGTGTTTGAAACCACTTCTCCTTCAGATTCCAGGGAACTGAGGGAAGCCCCATCCTTTGGGATTTTAAAAATAGCCTGGACAAGTAGAAGTAGCATCATAGGAACTAATCCTGCACTCCCCAGATAACCTCATACCTTTTCTGTCTCTCTAAATTCTAAGAGGCGCTTCTCTCTCCCAAGTACAAACCCCCAATGCTAGAAATCGCTGCGACAATTCAGTGCTGTAGAGTTCGCACTAAGGGGGTTTTCTCATTAGAGGAAGCAGAGTCTGTCCATTCTTCCCCATCTTAAAGAAGTGCCACGCAGTGGGTGAGTGTGGTGAGGCAGAAAGACCCTGCCACGCCTCTTCAAAGTAGGGTATGTTCCGCTCACACACGGCGTAGGGTTAGGTCTCGAATACACTAAAAGTAAAGCCAGCCTGGAAGGAGTGTGCGCCCAGCCTGCCCCCCGCTGCAGCGTTTGCTGCTCTCCGAGGTAACGCGGCCTAGGGAAAGCTGTGTGTGTCTCTCGCTGTCCTGTTGTCCATTGTACTAGCTGTGCTGCTCAGGGTATACACGCCTCCCCCACTGACCTGTGCCTTCCTTTCTCTCTGCAGGAATCCTTTTGCCAACATCCAGCTGAAACCAACAGTGACCAACGACAGGTCAGCTCCTTTCATCAGCTGATCCCTGGGATTGCTGGAGCCAGCAAGCACCTCCCGCCTGCATTGCTGTATCTGACCCACTGTAGCCGCCTTGTCTGCAAGTCTCTCTCTTTCCAGAACTTTATGTTTAGGCTTCGTTTGTTTAAACCTGCTACTGCTGCTTGGAAGCCAAGGGCTGAAGCCGGTGTTTTGATGGTCTCTCCTCTAAAGCCCGTGTACCCAGCGCAGTGATCGAGGGTGAGGGGGTTAAACTCTGTTACCATTCGTTCACTCTGGTCAGGGCAGCTGTGGAAGTAAAACCGCAGTCACGGCCCTGGGTTCCCAGCCTGTACCTTCCAGCCCTGTTCAGCTCTCCCAGGGCAGAAAGATCAGCAGTAGCCGGGGGAACATGCTGACCCCACAGCATGCTGCTGTTTTAAGAGTGGGAAAGCAGCAGCCCCCAGTGTATCCCCAGCCTCTCGCTCCTGTCTCCTACCCCGAGCAAGATCCAGGCCAGGGAGGTGTAACCCTCACCCCAGCCCTCTCAAAGGATGGCAGCAGGGCACCTGGGACCAAGGCTCCCACCCTGGGCCCACGGACTCATGGGTAGTGCACTACCCATAGTGGTGTGGATGGGGCGGGTCAGGCCTACCCCGCTTGTGCTAGCAGGAGCCCTATTAACACCCCTCTGTGGAGCTGGGCTGACTTGCAGAACCCCCTCTGCTGCTGTTTAGAGCTGCCGAGGGCAGCGAGTGGCCAAGCCTTGGCCCCTTCCCTTCTTCGAGCCTGCAGCAATTCTTGGCCAGTGGAACAGCAGAGCTGTGCAAAGCGCCTCTGTCCTCCCCCAAACTGCTGCTCAGGGCTGGCTAGCACGGCTCGTGCAGACAACTAGCGCTCCCAGGCAGGCCTGCTGAACGTCAGTTCAACAGTTGCTAATGTTTTTACAGCCCACCCCCGTGGGGCAGCGTCTATATTTTATTGAGCTCGGTGAGGTATTATTCAAGCTAGAACAATAGGCTTTTAGATGCAACACCCACTGTGCGGAGGCAACCGGTAATACTCACCCTCTTACCTGTAAGCATGTGTAGTGAAACCAGAGGGAAGAGGAAACAGAGGTGTAGGAGGGTGCACCATGCCCCGCTAACACTGTCCTAACCCCCTGTCTCTTGCCAGAGACCTGCAAGACCCAAGCTGCAGCTGCAGACAGCTTTCTGTGCTGAAGGGGAGAGTGTCTGTGACTTGAAAGGGGCTGGGCTGGAAACATTCCCAGTCCCCGAGCCCCCTCCCATGCTAGTAGCCACTTCCCCATGTGTCACTAGTGTCTGCCTTGCACGCCCCTGCGAGATGAAGCCTTACAGCTCCGTGAGTGACTGGCTGAGAACTTGGGATGGGAACCAGGCCCTGGAAGCTCTGGTTAGCAGCCGCCCACACCCCAGGCTGCTGGCGCGAGTGCTCGGTGTATGAGCTGGTGTCACTCTCTTTAGTGAGAAACCTCTGCCTAGCTGAGCTCACCCTTGTTTGTTACAAAGATCTCTGGTACCACCTCTCTGCCCTCCTCTCCGCGTGAGGCCATCTCAACTTCACCCCACCTGCCCCAGAGCTTGCACCAAGGCGTCTGCAGGCCTCGTGTCCTTACTAAAGCATGAGGGAAGAGAGAGGGGAAAACAAGCGCTACACCCTGTGTGAACAGGCCCTGCAGCCGGGCTGGGTCCTTCCCTGCCTTGCTCCAGTATGGGCCAGATCAGAAATCAGACAGTGCCCGGAGAAGGGGTGGCCGTCTTCATAGTTTGTCTGTTTGCACTTTTTTTTTTTAAGGCTACATCGCAGAGCACTAGAGCTGCCTGTGTTACTGCACGCTAGGGTTAGCTCCTAATAAGCTTATGCCGAGTAGCAAACGAAACCAAATGCAGAGTCCAGTGTTTGTATTTTTATATAAAGGAAAGTATATTTGACCCCTCTAATCAGTGGCTGCTTGCTGCAGCCGCTCTGCACGGGCACGGCCCCCCCCAGCCCCGGCAGGGGCAGCTCCTGAGCCACGCAGTGGGCACCACGCGGCAGGTACCTCATGGGCTGCCTTGCACTGCTGGGTGTGACGCTGGAGGGCCCTGCCCCCTGGGGTTAAATCTGTCCAACGGTGTTGTCTCAAACTCTAATCTGCTCTTCCTGCGCACTGCAACTTCCCCTGCTTTTCAGCAGTCAGTGAGGGCTCGGGCGGGCTCCTCTCACTGAGGTGACGCAAGTCCATAACTCCCTGGTGCCCGAGGGCTGCCGTTAAACCGGCCTAACCCCTCCTGGTGGTGGCGCTAGGGAGCAGCCTCAGCGAAGCGCTACAGCTGCCCCCCTGCGGCAGTTTGAGTGTACACAAGCCCTGAGCCTGTGCTGCTCTGAACTAGGCCCCCGTGCAGTGCCAAGCGCTAACGAAACACCCTGGAGACTACAAGGGTCAGCACAAGTGAACGGCCCCTGTTTTCTACTGTACTAGTTCTCTCTGGGCCTGCACTCAGCCCTTACGTGGGCATTTTCCTGCTCCGTGAGTGAAGTTCTGCCGGGCTGCAGCCCTGCTGATGCAGTAATTGGTTCATGTGGAGGCAGGGCCAGCTAAAAGCATAAGAAATATTGGCCCAGGTTTAGGGCTGCAAGTGCTAGAGTCCTAGGAGGAGCCCAGTGCCTGACTGCAAAGACGTTTTCTTGTCTGTGAGCGCTGAAAATGTAAACGATGGTGCTGCTGCTTGCCTGAGTGTGCAGCCAGCCTGAAACAATAGCTGCCGGAGATGTGAACTGCCCACTCCAGCTTAACTCTGCCACCCCCTGGGGACAGCCAAAGAGGCTCCAGCTGTGGTGTGCCTGAGGCCCCATCTTGCCTTAATTCCTCCCTGTGTGGACCAAAGACAGAACCGCTGCGCAAATGGACCCTGAGTGAACTCAAACCTGGCCTCCCACAAATCATGGGACCAAAGGGCTCCTCTGGGACCAGCTCCAGCCTAACATCTCTGGGCGTGGGTCTCTTGTCCTGGAGCTTTCCATACGGTGCCCACCATCACGCTGTGCCTTCCTGTGGTGTGAGCGAGAGGGTTTGTGCACAACAGCTGGCACTGCAGTCACTGGCCCACAGCGCGGGGAAGGAGGGAGCCTAGCAGAATAGTGATGTCGTTACCATAGCGACTGCCTTGGGTGGGAGGCTAGGGAGAGAGCAGGCCTGGTCCCTGCTCCCCTCCCACGGGTGCACTGGATCCTGTGCACATGGGTGAACCCACGTGCCAGGGAGGCCTGAGGGCTGCTCCCAAGGGTTGTACATCACTGCACTGCCTGGCCTACTCCCAGCACTGTTCAAACCCTCCCAGAAAGGCTGCCTTGCCTAGAGGAGCCTGCTTAGCCGGAGCGCTTTCAACTTGGGCAGCCAAGCTTTGCTTCCCACCTAGCACGGCCCGGTAAGGTGCTGGGCCTCTGCTCTGGCTGCTTCCCTGCGCTTTCTAGTCGGGCTAGCGGATGCACCATGTACCCTGAAATTACTCTTTTTGGAACAGTAATTTATGAGCAATAAAACCCACAAATCCTTGGCCTGGGTGCATGAGTTTTCTTTTCCTCCTGAAATTGGTGCGTCTCTTGCAGCTGGGAAGGAGCAGGGCTTTACGGGGCTGTGGTTCCCCTCCTGCGGGCGCAGGGGTTCAGGGTCAGGGCACATTAGCAGCAGCTGGAGGATGCAGCAAGCTCCCTTCTCCAAGCTCCGCTCACAATGCAAGGAGGATTTGTTTGGTTCTAGTGTTAATGAGCTACAGCAAAACTGCTTCCTTACCAACATGCTTTGAAAATGTTACTTACCTAACTCCAGAGCTGGGTCTCTCCCATATCCCCTCCAGCTCCCATGGGGGAGGCAAGGCCAGTTGCAGACAGTTTGGGTTAGAAAATGTAATCCCAGCTCCCCTAAGCCAGGTTAATAAGCACTGCTCTGCACATGTGGCTCTGCTCCCAGCCAGCTGCCCAGCCCGCCCAGGGGAATGATGGGTGGAGCAGTCTGGTGACACTATTTTAAAAACTTTATTATTGGCCCAATGATATTTGACACACATGCTGGGAGCTGTATGGAAATCAGAACTGATAAAAAATACAGCAATTATGACCCGTATTGATAAAATATACAATGTAATCGCCTTTAGATTTAAAAAAAATAGCCACGATGCAGCTCTGGCCTCATCCTGCCCTAGAGAGGCAGGTGCTTTTGACTCTATAGACCAAACCCTGGGCCTCTGCCAGTTGCTTTCCCCATAGCCACAAGGAAGGAAGGGGAGATGAAAAGGGATTAACTGGTCTTGCCTAGCGCGGGCTGCTCCCAGCACAGTTATTAGCTAACCTCCCACGGCCTGCTCTGGGACCACGCTTTGGCCTGAGGCACCTTTCAGGCCTATACATCCAGCGGCATGTTGCTCTGCAGAGCAGGGTCTTGGCAGGCAGCAGCTAACAGCCGCCGTAGTGCAAAACTTACCTCATGCTTGAAGAAACCCTCCAGGGCCTGACTCCCTCCCTGGCTGGGGAAGAGAGCATGGGAGGCTGGTTACTCTGGGAGCTCCCCTGCGGCTGGTCTTTGCTGCCCCTGGCCTATGCCACGGGGCTCCTGCACCCCAAAACAGCTGCTTCAACACCTCCCCCAGTGCTTTGCCTCGCACAGCCCCCCAGCTGTGAGCTGTGTTGTAGGTCTTGAGGGGACACTAATTCAAATGATTTGCTCCTCCAAGGGAAGAGAAGCAGCAGGAGGCAGTTTGCAGCTAAAGCAGTGCCCTGGTCTAGGCAGTAACTAACCAGCTGTGGTTGCACCTGAAGGGCGTAGCAGGGTGGGGGTGGGGGGGGGAAATCACACAGCAGGAGGGGATTTTAGCTCATCTTCAGTTTGCCTCTACTCTGTGCTAGCAGGGAGGAGATGCGTGCACATGGTAAGCAAGGCACAGTGTAGGGAGGTGGGTGTGAGAAGGCTACTGCTAACACCCACAGGCTGTCAGTGCTCCAGGTGCAGCCTTGGGCGGGTGAGCAAACAAGTGACCCAGGAAAGAAGTTTAAAAAAGGGTTAAAATACAAATGCCTCATGGGGTAGCCGCAGGATTAAAGCCCAAGAGAGTCATGCTGCAGCCTGAGGTGCTAGCCAGGGGAATACAGGCGTGCGAGGCCCAGCTCCCTGCTTGTCTGCGAAGGGCGTGTGAGCGGGTGACAAGACACTATGGGCAAAGCCAGCATCAGTTGGGGCAGCAGAAGATGCCTTGAAGGCTGGGTCCATCACCCTGGCTAGGAAGTGAGGCCTTGGTAGTTAAACATCACACCAAGCTGCCGGTGCAAGAAACCACCTGCTTAGTGCTCATGGGTGCTTTAATCCATCCCCGCTCTCCCCGGTGCTGAGTCTTTGCAGTCACCTTAGCTGCTCCAGCCCTGATGAATATTTAAGAGCAGCACATGGCAAGACCGTGTGCTGAAATAAAGGGGCCTCGGGCGAAGCTAACTGCTGACGAGTCTTTTCACTGTTATTCCGCCTACGTCGTCCCACGTGCAAGGCAGCCAGTGGCTCCTGCACCACTTCACGCCCACGTGAAGCACTGAATTACAGTCAGCTGCTTGAGTGGAGGAAGGCCAGGGGGCAGGAGGAGAGAGCCCATCAAACTACAGCACAGTCCTGCTTACAAAGGGCTGCTGGCACTTGAGTCAATCTTGCTAGACACGCAATGGAGCTGCTCACTCAGGCCTGGGCTGCTGGCGCTCCAGCCAGGGGTTTCCGACCGCCATGGGTCAGGAAATAAGTCAAGGGCCAGGAGCAACACAGCTGCTCAGTGCTTTGAGGCTGCAGTGAGCTCTAGAATTCATTGAACGTGTCCAGAGGTGACCATTTATTTCCACTTTCAAATGGCCTTTGACAAGGTCCTACACATGCGGCTGCTAAAGACGCTTGGGGGAGGGGTGTGAGCAGCAAAGTGTTGTCATGGCGCAAAACCTGGCTAGGTGCCTGCCCGCAAAGACCAGGCGTGCATCAGGCACACGGCTAACAGCAGGGGGCCTCACGGCACCGTCCTAAGGCCTGTGATGTGTACGATTTTAATAAGCTGGAGGGGGTGGGGGTGAGCAGGGAGGTAGCAAACTGTGCCGCTGACGGGAAGTTATGTAGTCAAGACGGGAGAGGCGTGTGAATGAGACCTACACAAACGAGGGGAACACGCTGACAAATGCAAGGGGATGTAATGCACATTGGAAGAAAAAACATTAAAGGCCCTGTGCAGCTCGCTGGGTGTCGGAGTAATGGGCACAACGGAGCCCAAACCACGGCCAGCTCTGCTGCAGTCAGACGCTAACACAATGGCAGGCTGCGTAAGGCCTAGGCTAGAGTAGCAGGGATGATGCTCTAATGCAGCGGTTATTAAACTGTGGGGCAGGACCCCAAAGTGGGTTGCAACCCCATTTTAATGGGGTCGCCAGGGCTGGCATTAGACTTGCTGGGAGGCGGGGCTGAAGCCCTCAAGCTTTGCCCCACTACCCCCCCTCCCGCCCCGGGGGGCAGGGCTCGGGCTTCGGTCCCCCTTCCCGGTGTCGTGCGGGGGCGGTCGCGGTGCAGTGACGTTTGAGAACTCCTGCTCTAATGCCCTAATCGAAGTCAATGGGGGTGGCTCCATCTGGAGCCTCTGGGCGGTGCTCGTTACACTCCCAGCCACAGGATACCGCAGCCCACGGGGAAGAGGGGCCGGAGGAGGGCAAGGAGAATGAGGTAGGGCCAGGAGCATTCTCAGCCGACGAGCAATGCAGCTTGGGCCCTTAGCGTGGAGACAAATAAGAGGGGCCAATGCTAAGTCTCTACAATAGTAACTGGTCTAGTGACGCGAGGGCTTGGAACAAGGGCCCGTTCCATGGTGGAAAAGTCAAGCACACTAACAGGAAATATTTTCTGCACATGGCGTGAGTAGCCCGTAGCCCTTGGAAGCCAGTCAGCCCAAGAATGTACCAGTCAAGAAAGGCCTGGGCACGTCTAGGGAGCCAGCCAAGCCAGCGTTGTCATTGATGTTGGCAGGGTCGGAAATCAGTGGCTTCGGGGCTGAAGCTGCTCTCTAGCTTCGCGAGCCACGCCGAGCCCCGGTGTGGGGCAGAGGAGCCCACAGCTGTTGCTCCGGGGTTCTTACACCTTCCACTAAGACAGCGCCACAACACAGGGCTCAAGTCCTGTGCCCAAAGAGGTTGCACCAAGCTCAGGCATGTGTCCTGGGGCCAGAGAGCACCAGGTCTTGCTCCAAGCCCTGGCTGTTTGCGCAGCAGCTGCATTGCTATGCCTCCCATCACTCCAGCAGTGCAGCCCCAGGGACAGCAAAGCACTCGGCCTCGCATCCCTGCTGTTTAGACCAATCCGTCATGCCGCAAAAGCACCAAGGAGCCAGCAGCTCCCTTTGTGCACTGGACGCTGACACTCCCCTGTGGCACAGTGAGCCAGCGAGCACCATGCAATGCTGCTGCCTCTTCTCTGCCATGTGGTGCTGGGCTCCCCGCGGGGCCGCAGGCTGAAAGAGCAAACTGGCTGTCCCTGGTAGTGGAGGACACGTCCCCTGGGACTCCACACTGGAGGGGGAAAGGCTGTGCTGGCTGGGGAGAGGGTGCTGCAGCAGACGATGTAGCAGGGCTTCACCATCGCTATGGGTGCAGCACCACTAGTGCAGAGGGATGGGGCCGGGGCCTCTGCCTCGTCTGAGCCCCACGTGGCGGGTGTGCGGGGAGTGCATTCTGTGCAGGGCCGTACCTGCACTCTCCCAGCCAAAGCCCAGACAGGGCCCAAAGGAACGGTCACTGGGATGGGGGCTGCTCATCCACATATACGTGCATCCAGCAACCCCCGTGCCCCATGTAAGAGGAGGGGCTGGGGCTGCTAGTCCAACCCACGGACTGGCAGAACATGCCGGGCTGAGCTGCGGTCGGGGCGGGAGGCAAGGCACGGCAGCGTAGTTCGCAGAGCTCCCACCGCCCATCCAAACGGTGACTGTGCCAGTGGCAGTCCCTACCATCCCTCGCCCCAGAGCTGAGCAGGGCCCCTGACACACACTGCCAGCCCTGCAGGGGAGCCATGCACAGCCCCAGGCCACACTGCAGCTCTGCCTTCCTACACTGGCAAAGGGACCGCCCTCGCTCCAGAGGGGACAGGCCATGCAGGGAGCCGGGACGATGCCAGGTGAAATGACCCAGCCAGGAGCAGCGGGAGGCATACAGAGCCAGGGGCCTGGGGGGTGGGGAGGAGGAGATGGAGGGAGAGGTTAACGTGCTTTTCATGCCCCACAGTCACCGTCCAACAGTGAAATGCACATGGGAGCGAGAGCCATAGGCTTTACCAGCACCACCAGGGGGGGGGGAGGGAGCTGAGCATGGTGCCCGTTTTGCTGCCTCTTAATCTCTGCCAAACGCACAGCACTGCCCAGGCACAACAGGATCTAACACAAAGCAAATTCAAACAGAGCTGCCACACGCACACGCCCCCACACGCCCCAAAGTCTGCAAGCAGGCAAGGACAGTGATGGGGGGGGGGGGCTGATTGCTCACCTCAGCGTTTGGTCT